CATAATGTCCCCATGGCTCTAACTATCATTTCTCTGAACACCAAAGGGCTGAACTCAGCACACAAACGGAGACTAGCCCTCACGGAAGCTAAAAAGATGAAAGCAGCAGTAGCTTTCTTCCAAGAAACACATTTCTTAAACTCTAGCATGCCCAAATTCTCCTCTAAACTATTTCCAACAGGATACCATGCCCGTTAAGTCAAAAAGAAAAGAGGGATATCGATACTATTTAGCAAAGATGTACCTTTTTCGCTACACAAAAAAATTGGGGATAAGGAGGGCCGCTTCCTCCTCATTCAATGCCTCATCAGCAATGAACCCTACACATTTATAAACATTTATGGCCCACATGAAAATCACATTAAAAATAGACACACAAAATGGAAGGCCTCCTCTTAGCGCTGGACGTGGAGAAGGTCTTTGATAGGTTCAACTGGGAATATAGGGAACAGGTCCTTTTTAAATTTGGCTTCCCCACAGAGTACTTAAGAGGAATCCTGGCCCTATACTCTAACCCAACTTCCAGAGTCACTAACGCAGGTTTCTTATCAAGCCCTTTTTCTGAACGGCACGCTCTTGCCCCTATTATTTGTACTATTCCTTGAACATACAAAATCAGAACCCTCACGGACATAATTGGGATTCCCATGCAGAACTCAGAATATAAACTATTGATGTTTGCGGATGATGTCGTTATCTCCATGTCACAACCAGATCATTCATTACCACACCTCATACACACTTTAGATGAATGCAGTAGAATATCTTATTACAAGATGAACCAAACGAAAACTCAAGCACTGTCAATACTACCGTCCACCCGGCTTGTAGTGGCACTAAAAGACAAATTCCCCTTCTATCAGAGATACACACACCTCATGTACTTAGGAGTAAAAATTGCGGCTACATACAGAGGTATTACCACACTTAATTTCTTCCCCCTTCGACAAATGTGTAAACATATACTCCACAAATGGAAAGATGTTTGTGACAGACCCATCTGTCTGGATTACAAATGCTTTGTTCGCCTGTTTTGCCGGTTACATGAATTTCCCCATTCGTATGCTTTATTCAAGGGAATGTCGGTTTTTGTCGAACGGAACTACCGAACGGACGGCCACCCAGAAGAGAAGTGTGCTGCTGGTTAACCTATTGATCCCAATTAGAACGTTGCGGTTAACCACAGACACTTCTCAATTAAAACCGAATGCCGGGTGGTCGTCGTTCGTATGTCGACCACGAGGCGGCGGCCATTTTGTCCATGCGAACGACCAGCGGTGTTCGACGATTATTTCATGGATCTGAAAACGGACACTTTTTCAGCCGAACACCGCTGAAGCCGTCGACCTCCCCTTCTCAATCGACAAAAGTATACGAATGCCAGCCGTTCGGGAGATTCAACCACACGAATGGACTTAACCCAGATAGCCGTCCCATGGAGTCAATCGCATACCGAAGAACTGAAAGAGACTTTGACTCCATGGCGATTGAACTATGCGAATGGGATCTGAGCGCTATTCTCCAATAATGTGCACTCAGATCCAGGCTATCTGGGGATATGCAATACGAATGTAATATGTTCGGCAGTTATGAAGTTATGGATTTTCATGTGTTTTTGTGACTTGTGTTTAAAATGGCGATTGCCTCTGCTCAGGGGAGATAATTGAGTTACTTCCCAATTATCCCCCGAGCAGAGGGGAGGGAACTGTACTGCATGCTGGGAGTATTGTGGGGATGTATGTCCAAAATGTCCCCATGTCCTTCTGTGATTTCAGTCTCCCATTTGGTCCCCTAGGGGAGTGTCCACCAAGTGGGAGACCTGCATAAATACCGGGCAGATAGCCCACAGTAAATCAGTTCGTGTTTTACCCTCAAAGCGGAGCTTGGTCTCGTTATTGGGGGGATTTGGTTACCAGCGACTAGA